CACACCCAGCGGTTTTTTTTTTTTTTTCCCCTTTTTTTTTTTTTTTTTTTTCCCCCAAGGGTGTTTAATTGTCTTTTTTTTAAAAAAAAAAAAAAAAAAAAAAGCTTTTCCACACATGTTAGGAAGTCTGTTGACTCCCCCTCTTCCTCACAGGAGGAAGTGGAAAAAATACCATCTGAGAAAACCAAGGCCCAAGCTGACAAAAAATGAACCTCCCAGACAATGAAGCATATGGTTGCTATATCCCATCAAGTTTGAAATCAACTGGGCAGATGCTCCCCACTTAACAAGCTTTGGAAAACAAAGCCACTGCGGTCCACTTCTGCTCCTGCAGAATTTAAATGCCATAGGTATTGGGTAGCCAATGTTACAAAACACAAACAATTTAGGACTAGGATTTTGACTACAACCTCTTCCCACAGAAGTACAGTCAAGCAGAATCCAAAACTAACAACTCACTCATACAGGTCCTGTGTTTGGAGCTCCTCCAAGTTTTGAGAAGGGTTGCAAATATAGGCTCCAAAGCAAGAGTTTTCTCTAATCCTCCTCCTAGGCTTGTGTTTTGCACTCGAGGAGACAGGCTAGGCTACATCTGACATAATGTCAACATGTACACAGGATAATCCAAGAGGGAAAAAAACAAACACTATTCTCCCCATCATCCCAACTCTGTCACTTTCAGTAACAAGCCATCAAAACTATGTGTTTAGTAAAAGCCTCTGTCAGTAACACCTAAATTTTCCATCAAGAGCTACCCAGCAGAAGGCCATTAGAGAGGTTTAACTTTATTGCCAGCTTGGAGCTCAAAATGATGAGTTTAAAGGAGAAAGCTGACAAAGACTGAACAGTTCAAAGTTACTCAGCCTAGATACTACCACCACACCACCATAAAAGCTGGTACAATTCACAGCAAAGCTACGGGCTCAGCATGTAAAAATAAGTCAATTGAAATAGTAATAAGGAAATACTTGTTACCTAAATGCTGTGGCAAACAGTAATCTAGGTACATAAACCAGTGGACTTTTTTAAGTGCTTAGGAAAACCTCACTGACCTCAGACTGAGGGAAACCACATTATTGGCAACTCTCAAGTAAGACTTTATCTTAGGATAACTACAGCAAATTTTACATCTTATTCCTTTTGCAATGAGGACGGAAATCTGAAGCATGTAAAGAACGCAATACTACTTTCCTGGGGGCTTATCTATACTTGGGAGCTCTTCAACCTTAAATATTATGCCTCACTCTCTTCTGCTCTAGTCCATAGGTTATCATCTTTGTCATGTTTCACTGCCATCTTCATTTCCCAACAAATCAGTGCAGTCCACAACATCCCCAGTCAACTTCTCCAACACAGCTGATTCAAGACACAAGCATGTAGAGAGAAAAATATTGCTGCCACTCATGATGACTGCAGGCAAGAGCCAGTGCCACTCAATAACCAGGCCTTCCTAGTCACCTTCCTGAAGGTACTTCTGTACCTACTTCCAGACAGTAAGCTAAACTTATAAACACTTGTAAAAATGACACTTCTTTGGTGTCTTATTCTATTTGTTTTTTGTATGGAGATAGCTGCAGCCCAGCAATTGTAGAAAGAACACAGCAACACAGTTGTACCAACAAGCCTCCTTCTTCCCAGGTCTCAGGACCTAACTGCATGCAAACTTCAGTTTAAAATTAGTTCAAGGTACATTAGACAGATA